GTCATTATCTTCTGTCTTCTTGATTCCTCTTCTTTTGTTCTCACTTCATTAAAGTTTTTTTTCTTTTCCTTCACGCTCGGTAACTAATTTCGTCTTAGTGGCTTTGTTTGGAATGAGAATTTTTGCCAGTTATTCCGGTTGATGATTTTTAGCAAACGTCGTACATTAAAATGAATGCTGGAATAAAACATAGATATTAGGTCGATGAATTGGGACAAATGCCACAGAGGCAAAGTCCGCACTGCGACTGAACAGCTAAAAGTTTACATGGTGTCTTGTTGCCAAATGAGCTATATAAAGACTGTCACATCACAAAACGTGTCCACTGATCGGTAACGTTGCTTTCCAATTGCTTCGATCATGAAATTATCAATACACACCATATATATATATATATATATATATATATATATATATATATATATGGATGTGTTTTTGTACATATGATTATGTGTATTCTTTTCATATTTATTTATGCTTCTTTTTATTTTATATTTCACAAAAAACAGACACCACAAATGACACACACACACACGTACACACACACACACACACACACACACACACACACACACACATATATATATATATATATATATATATATTATGTAACGACCACCTCCTGAAGATTGCAGAAACTCAGAGTTGTGCTACCGGCGAGGAATATATATATATATATATATATATATATATATAGAGAGAGAGAGAGAAAGAGAGAGACAAGTTTTGGCTACTTATTTTCATTTGGATTCTTTTATATCCACGGACAAGTTTTTGGGTGTCATTATTAAAGGAAGAGAGAAAATTAGCGTGTTTATACACATTTATTCCGATTACTTTGGACATTAGCACACGCACGCGTACACACACACACACACACACACACACACACACATATATATATATATATATATATATATATATATATATATGTGTGTGTGTGTTATTTATGGTGTCTCTCTCTCTCTCTCTATATATATATATATATATATATATATTATGTGACGGCCAGCACCTGAAGATCGCGGTGTTTTCAGAAACTCAGAATTGTGCTACTGGCGAATATATATATATATATATATATATATATATATATATATATATATATATATATATATATATATATATATATATGTATGTATGAGACATGTTTCATAGAATAATTTAGATAAGTTTTGTCTACTTATTTTCATTTGGATCATTTTATATCCACGGACAAGCTTTTTGGTATCATTATTAAAGTAAGAGAGAAAATTACCGTGTTGATACACATTTATTCCGATTACTTTGGACATTAGCACAATGTCATCACCAGGGTGTTGTTGTTTCTCTGCCAAATATTGTAGTGTTCATCATTTTCAAAGACAAAACTGCTGTGTTCATCCGAAAGTTAAAATTCTTTACTTATGAAACAAAGAACGCAGAGTTTAGTGCTGTGCTATTTAGACTGAGTAACGCTTCAGTTGAAGAAACTAAATTATGAGATTGTCGAGAGTTTTTTTTTTCAAAAAAGTATTAAAAACTATTAGTACAAACCTAGATATTCTAAACTATCTACTGTAAACATTTGTGCAGTATTCATAATTTTATTAAGATTTGGTTTCAGTTTTTTAATATAGAATTTTTAGTTTATGTTTATTATTTTCCTGAAAAAGTATCGATGTATTTCCAACAAGAATTTTTCTAAATTGCGAATGTGGACTGGTATACTTTTATAAATGCTTATAAATGTTGGACGCATCATTGAACTGAAACTTCAGCCGCCGAGACAACGTGGTCGCCAACATAAATATTATTTTTTTTTCCGTTGGGGATACAATCTTCCACGAGACATTTAAATTTATATACGATGTTGGTTTTTTACAACACGTTAGTTGGTCATTACGAATTATTAAATTTGATATACTAGATTTAGTGTAGTATATAATTCATTTTATTTTTTACTAAGATCCGTGGTGGTTGCTCGACCTGAAGATATTTCTAACTTGATACCACCTACTTTTATCAAAACCGGTCACCATATCTAGCGCATTTAATTGTGATCAGCTTAGCCATAATGATGAGATTATTGAACTTCGTTTATTTGTACTACAGCCTCATTTTGGTGCACTACATTCATTCAATAATAATAATAATAATAATAATAACAACATCTAAAAATAGTTTTACGAAGGAAAAGATGAAAAAAGGTATGCATATGTTGTCGTATTGCAGGAATTTACTGAAATTAGGTAAATTTAGTACGTTATTGAATTGAACAATAATTATAAAGCATTTTAGAACATTATCGACATTAATTGTAAGTAATGCTTAGTTGTTTTTTTACAAGTATGCCTGTCTGCTAGGATGATTAGCTAATGCCATTTTCAAACGCCCACCAGTTGCATTTCACCCACTGATTCTGCGTAGACTTTCTCGGAGAGCGCATATTCTGGCGTGAACATGGTCTGCATCTTCAAACCCTCGATCACGATGACTGATGTTTTATAAGCACAACCTTCAATGGTTTCTGAACAATTTCGTCTACGCAATTTCACTCACAAGGCTTGGTTCAACCACTAATATGACTTTTAGTTACTTCCCAATCATGCCGCATGCTGTACGTTCAAATCCTCGGTCACGCTGACTTGTGATACTTTGCTAGCACATCCATCCACGCAATTTCGCTCACAAAGCTTGGTTCAACCCTTGAACCTCCAGCCCGATATTAAGAAGTCAATTCCATGATAATGTGACAATGGTGTCATCAGTTCTTGAGTTTCATACTCAGAATGCCAACTTTCTAAGCGCTCTTTTACACGTCCACTCACTAATGTTGACTACAATATTTGCCATGCTGATCTATCTTCTGGCATCACACAACCAAAGTCCATGGATTTTATCTGTCTTAGCAAACTGTTTGCTAGAGGTCGATTTTGCAGTCTCTTTGATAGAAAAAAATATAAATAGACAGAATAATATATATATATATATATTTAATATTAGTGGTAAAGGTTCTTGCTAGATTAGATCGTTATATTTATTATTTATATGATTATATTTGATTTGTAACCTGTAGTCGATATTAATTTTGTCAAATTTTCTTAATTACACAGCGGCCCTTTCAGTAAATGCCCTTCAGTTTTAGTTTTCCCCGCCCCATCTCTCTCTCCCACCCCTTTTTCTTTTCTTTTCTTCTCCCTCCCTCTTCTTCTGATCTTTAAGATTAGATCATCTATGGTGTGTGTATGTTCCTACAGACATCTTCAGAAAATTTACCAGTAAAAAATTCGTTTATCACCATATTTGTACATGAACGCACAACTGTAAAAAATTTAAAATCAAACTCAGCGTTGCTACTGCACGCTCCAAAAACAATAACTCATTTCCAATAGCATTTTCGGATACAACAATACATATATTTTCGTTGTCCTCCTATTACTAAGAGAAAAAACAAGAACATCTATTCCATACCTGAAGATGTCTGTAGGAACAGACGAAAGCTTGTAAAAATAAGAACTAATGCGTCAGAAATTTATAGAAACAAGGATCTTTTCATTCATAACGGGTTCGAGGTTTTTGTATATTATTTGAATTGTTTGCGACGATGGATTTCTCGCCAATTAAATCATTAACCTTTGCATTTGTTTTTGTGTGAATAATTCATGAATATATATATATATATATATATATAAATATATATATATATATATATATATATAGATAGATAGATAGATAGATAGCAGAGGATATGAAGGATGAAACATTCTTCAAATATTGTTTTGGTTGCAACCAGTTTGCATTTAGGTGTATCCATTGTTTCTGTTAAATATTAATTTATTTCTTTTATTTAATGCCATGTCCTTTAAGGTCGTTAGGCGATCACGAATGAATTGCCATACCTTTATAGGAAAGATTGTGGAGTAGTTTACTGTTACTCTTTCTACGGTTTTGAATTTTGAGTTGTGCTTCTCGGGGATTTGGTTGCCACCTACGGATAAAGATCCCCATCTCGGCTGTTAGTTAAGCCATAAGAAAAATAGGATTTAGTGAGAATTAAATCCAATAAACAGGGACAGTTCCATTCTCCAGACTGATAACCCTTACCCTACTTACACATCCCCTAAATGTCAGTACCTACATAATAAATCCTGATTTAAGTCAATAATAACTTACAACTGATTTTTGCATAGGCTTCTGGATGAATTATTGTGCAGAAAATGATTTATTTATTCGAAGCTGACTCAGTAGAAATATACTCCAATATCTGTTTAATCGTATGGCGGCATTGAAAAGCGAATGTAAATCCATCTGTGTCTGTGATTCAAAAATAGATCATTGAACTGGTATTATTTGTGTCACATTTTGGCCAGTTGCCATCTGGCATCCATTTCTAGTGACAGTAAGAGGTAACCGTAGAAAGTAGCTAGATTTATTTTTAAGCTCATATTTCTTCATGGAATTGAAATTTATTTCTAGATTACATTTGAGCAGTGAAGGTCTCGACATTTTTGTTCCATTCGTGACCCGTAGCCAAATAATGGCTTCCTCAAATTACGATTCCTTCTTCCTCACCTAGAAATGTTTCTTTTATTTATAATTTACGATTTCTTCCCGAGAAGGAGATCGGAAAATGGGAAAATGATACTTTGATTTAAATTATGATTGCTTCCAGCTTCGCTGTTAAAATTATCATTGCAGTAAGATTAAGATGAAGATATTTATAAAATAATTAATCCTGTCGTTTTTTATTCATTCATTCATTCATTCATTCGTTTTCTATGGCTTATCAACTCATTGCAGTTTATTTAAAGTCAGAAAATGTTTTTAGATTTGAAGAATTTTTTCAGATAATGGTTTAGTGATACAAGTCTTGCAAATACCTGGGGAGGGGGTGTATTCACACCCTTCCTCAAAGGTATTTGCGTGTAAGTGAATATAATGAACCCAATGGGAATTGAAACTCTACTCACCGATTAACAATTCGAGCCATTATCCCTTACACCACCCACACATCCAAGCTTACAGCCCCTGGTATTCCCAAGCAATAAACCTATCTAAGTAATGACAAGGCTCAACGTTGCTTAACTTCGGTGATCGTACAGGAACCAATGTTTCAACGTGATGTGGTCGTAAGCCTTTGTCCTGTTGGTTGGCTGATTTTGTTTAATGGCATATCAACACCTCTATGAGTTAATTAATGCCGTAATTTAAATATCTCGTACGTAATTTTATGCTTTCAACTACAGAGTATTTTGTACATAATTTTATACTTTTAGTGTAAATATATGATTTTTAGATACATAGTTTGTTGATGATAAAATGTAGTGAAGGTAAATTTTCTTTTAATCTATTGCTGGTAAGTTCACTACAAACATGTATTTTTATACTATATTTGTGTTGTATTGATTGTCATTTTGTTGGTAATTTTAATATAAAAATGTACAGTTGAATTTTGTTTGTGTGTTCACTATTTACCTATAGCTTGGACCCTAACAGGTGCTACCACCCGGATTCAGAGAGAAGCTGGAAACAACAGCAATTGAGGTGATTCCACGCCCCTTAAAACGTTCGACCCCCCGATCAGAGACCTGGCTGCCGAATGTAGTTTATCGTCATACCCAGGACTATCGTCCTGTTGGCGTTAGATAATTAAAGAAAATCAAATTAATTATCGACCAAGTAAAAACAGATAAAATAAATCGCGTTAGGAAAACTGAATGGTGTTAACAGAGAAGCAAAAATCATTGAATTTATAGAGAAATTGCTAATATTCGGTCGATACCCAGGCCTTGTTTCTAATTAGAATTTGAATTTAATTAAAGAAAATGGTTCAGCATGACAGGCTATTTGAATCGCTTCCTGCCATTTTATATGAATATATTGACGGCTGAAATAAAAAGAGTTACACCATAACTCAATCAAAACAGCGAATCTCGCCATTTTTACTTTTTCTCGTTAAAGACTTATCAGCTGTCATCTTTTCATTATCAAGTGGATATGGATTTTCTTTTTATAATTTAAAGGAATTCCTTTAACTCATGAAAAAAATTTCATCAATATCAAGATAAACTTTCAAAATTTCATCAATATGAAACCGAATGAAAAGAAGTGGTAAATCAAATTGAAGGAAATGTTAATTCTGACAAAATATAAAAGTAAGTATGATAGGGTTGGAAAGGTAAACCACTCGGAACTATGCAAACATCTATGATTCAGAATATGCGCAGGCTAGAATATATTTTAGAAAAAAATCCTCTAGAACTTTTGAGATTCAATCAATTCATTTAATCTAAGCCAGTGGACCGGATCTAATTATTGGGATTAAAAAGAAGAAAAACGTTTTAATTCGTGGATGTCATTTTTTGAGCAGATCATTGTAAAATTAGAAAAAAATGGCAAAAGTTATAGAAATATGTAGACCTCAACCGCTGCTTAAAGGAGAAATCCTTTCCAAGTCTATGAAACGTGTCAAGCGTATTCCCGGTTTTCAAGATCGTGGACATGCGATTTTCCCCCTCCCAGTACAGACACACCCGTCTCCTCAGGATATTTACTAAGATTTTGAGGCCATAATCAATAAGATGGTCGTTGAGCACATAGAAAAGAACAACCTCTTCAGTGACAAGCAGTATGGGATTCGGTCGGCCCGATCCACTGTCGACGTCCTAATTACCACTCATATGCGAGGCTCTTGAAGATAAACACACCATAGCATTAGATATGGCCTTTGACAAGGTGTGGCACAAAGGTTTACTACAAAAGCTCCCCAGATGAAATCACTGGAAGGGGCTCCTCTATCATAAAATCCTTTCTAACAGATAGGTCCCTGAAGGTAGTTATTAATTTAACGCTCGCAGTAACTATTGTTGTTGTCTGACATTTCATATTAGGACAAATTTATCAAGTGAAGCCGAAAAAGTTTACGGAATTATCTAAATAAGTCAATCTAATTTGTTTTATTTGATTTAAAACTGTACTGAATTATTTATACAAGTAAAAAACAAAAACATTACTGAATATTTATGATTATTAATAATACATGAGGAAATTATTTAAATGTTTCTCTCACGGTCAGTCTATAGATTTACATCTAAATTAGGAAATTCAACGAGACATAGCATAATGACAAACGGAAATTTAGAAAGATTCCTTCCTAAACAAATATTTATACAGAGATGTTTGAAAGATATTCCAAAAACTAAGAGTATTAAACAGAAAACCTTTGTTTTAAACAAAGAAAAAAAGAACTGAAGTGTTACGTAATCTCTGTCCTCATATATGACAGTAAATGCTGGACAATCTCCTCAAAAATAAAAAAAGAGATTTGAAGCAACAGAAATATGGTTCTACAGAAGGATATAAAGAATACCATGGAGCGAATAGTGAGCAATGGCGAAGTTTTAGTTAGTTGATTTTGTTTATTGGCATATCAACCTCTATGAGTTATTTAATGCTGAAATCTAAATATTTTTAACGTAATTGTATGCTTTCATGTATAGATAAAATGCTTCGTTGGCAATTTTACTATAAATTTGTTTTGTTGGTAATATAATTTATACTAAAATGTATTTTTGATAGTTTTATTATAAAAATGTATTTTTATAATTTCATAGTGATTTTTTATGGGGGGGTGTACTATTTACACATTACTGGGACCCTAACAGGTGCTAGAAGCCCGGGTCAGGATGGATCGGGAGACAGCAGCAATTAAGAGCTTGTTTCAGAGATATTGCTGCTGGATACAGTTCATCATCATACCCAGGAATGATGAAATTTTATAGAAAATATAAACGAAAAAAAAATAATACTTACCATCAGGATGCGATAGTGGAAATTTCTCGAGGACTTAATACTAAAAGAGGGCCTGGAAAATCTGATGCAACAAGAATAGAGGAAAAACAGCAGTTAACATAGTGAATTTCATTAAATAGATGAAGCGTTTAGGAGAAATAACGAATTAACAAAATTTACTAAGAGCTACAAAGGAAAGAAAATTGTGGAGAGCCATGATCGTTCACGTTCTGGGAGAGACACCACGCATAGAAGTAGTACGAGCTTGTGTAAATGAATGACATAGCAGGAGTTAGGAAAGATAACAAAAAGACATAATTTATTAAGGGCTACAAAGTAAGAAAATTATGGAGAGCCATGGTCGCCTACGTCCTGAGGGGGTCGCAACAGAAGAAACCTATCACAACTCACTCTGTTCGTAGGCCGGCTATTTGGCTCGTAGAGTTAAATACCTCGGTGAACGAATTCCGTAACCCGATTCTTAGCTGAAACATTTCAAGCAGAGATTAGTTTGACGTTGCATTTATTGAGTTTCATTTAATAACACGATTTCTTTATAATTTATTTAGCAGTTGAGATAATTACACATTTTCCCACTGATACATTCAGTCAAGGTTTTAAAATCTTCTATGGCCTTCTAAGACGTGGGCGGTCATGGCTTTCCACAGCTTCCTATCTCCCACTCTCTGTTCTGCCATTCAATTCACAAGCCTGTTAGATAGTTACTTTCTTGAATTCAATATATCCTTTGAGTGTCAAATTTTCCAAGCCTTTCTTCCCCATTATGTACCCCAGAAATTTAAATGCCACTTTCTTATTCTGTATATAAGCGTCCTTTTGTTTCCTATTTTCCATATAAACCTCGATACTCATATGTTCCGTTCATAGTATCCTCAGCATCCTCAGAACCACATTTCTATCGCCTCAATCTTTTCATCATCTGTGACAAAATCTGTCTATATCTCTTATATATCTCTATATTATAATTCAGTCAGTTGTATGTCATGCGTGTTACCCGCTTACACGATCATGTATCTTTCGATACATAATTGACGAGGCAGATTTTTTTCCCGCTGTAGATTGCCATTTCTTTCTGCGGTAGACCAGTTACCATCCAAGGCTATAGAACTCGATCTTTTCTGCTATATACCCATAGCTGGGGAGAGAAGAAGAGGATCCATACCTTTCCCAAAGGTATTAGCACGTAAGTGAATGTAATGGATTCGACTGGAATTCGAATACGGCTCTCCGATTCCTCAATCCGGAGAGCCGAGTTCGAATTCCAGTCGAATCCATTTATATGATTAGTTACATTATTTATATTATTCTAACTGTTATCCTCATTTTCAATGTCATATTCACAACGTTTCGGCCGGTGTACGCTCCGTCTTTTTTTCAGGTGATTGGAACTAGAACAATCTACTCCGGTGAACGAAATAAAAGATTCGGTTGGAAATTCCAATCACCTGAAAAAGGCCGGAGCGTACAACGGCTGAAACATTGTGAATATGGTAATGATAATGAATAATGTAAATAATGTAAGTAAACTATGACAAGATTGTATAACATTCACTTCCATATACGAATGTTACATAGCAGTTGAGAACCCTTTTTTGTGTCTAACGAAATTTTCCGGTTTTTAATACTTTACAGGATTTCTAATTCGGATTTTCTAGACAGACAAACTTTCAAAATTGAGACTGACGTAACACATTCTTGCAATTTTCTTCCTTACCATTTTGGCACTGTCTTCTAACCAGTAACAGGATTTCTCAATCAATCTTCCTTGTCTATTCACCTACTGATATTTTTTTTCTTTTATCACACGGATAAAGCCAGTTCTGTTTAAGGTGATGACAAAAAAATCATCTGATCCCCGAAGCTAAGCAACCTCGAACTTTATCAGTACTTGGATGGATAACCTCTTAGGAAAATCAGAAACAGTAATCAGTTTAATCTGTAAGCTTTACTTAGATTGACTAAGCAAAGCTTATATTATGGGATGTTGTTTATTACTCCAAACGTTATTGTCAGTGGATGCCCGTATTTGAGTAGATGCCCCGTTAAGCGGGGTGCCAGATTGGTTGCTAGGTTTCATCATTTCACAGGGTGGAGGGGGGGATTGCTAGATGTAGGCATAACTTATACGCTAACAGTTTCTCGTCTCTCACTTGTAGAACTCTTTCAGTTACTTGATTTCAAGTCAACATAGATTTTCAAACATTTAAATGCAATGCCAATCATCATCATCTGTCTCTTTCATTCCGGTTCTTTGAAAAACCTCTTTAATATTTTTGTTTTTGTTTTTATCACACCTAATAATTTCTTGTGACTTAATATCT